CCTTTACAGCTAAGCACATGGCTAAGTAGAAATTGACAAAAAAATAATGATAAAATAAAATAAAATAAATAAATAAATGAACAAACAAATAAATAAAAACCCCGTAGTAAAAAAAATAATAATAATAATAAAAATAAATGAATGAATAAATAAAATAAAAAAAAGCACCTCCGAGGCAGAACACATTTCAACATTCCCACAAACGCAATTCACCGCCAAGGGGATCCAGGTCTCTCGCGCGCAGCAGGTTTATAGCGGGGCGGAGGGAGGGGGGGGGGGTGGCAGAGATGAAGGGAAGGGAGGCGGTAGGGAGGGAAGGGAAGGGAGGCGGGAGGAAGGAGGGAGGGAGGAGAGGAATGGCAGAAATGCAGCCTATCGGGAGGGAGGGAGGGAGGGAGGGAAGGGAGGACGGGGGAGGCGGAGGGTGGAGGGAAGGGAGGGAGGGAGGGGAAGGGAAGGGAGGGAGGGGGGAGGGAGGGAGAGAAGGGAAGGGAGGCGAGGAGGGAGGAGGGAAGGGAAGGGAGGCGGGAGGGAGAGGAGAGGAGAGGAATGGCAGAGATGGAGGGAAGAGAAGGGAGGCGGGAGGGAGGAGGGAGAGGAGAGGAATGGAGAGAGTAAGAAAGAATGTAGGGGGATAGAGGTGAGGAAAGGAGGGAGGGGCGGGAAAAAGGAGAAGAGGGAGAGAGAAACGAGAGGAGGAGGGCATGGAGGGAAAGACTGAGAGGGACAGGTGCGAGGAGGAGGGAGGAGAGTCTAAGCTGGAGAGGGAAGTGGTAGGAGGGAGTGAGGGAGGGACTAATGGAGAGGAGCTGGAGGGGGAAATGGGAGGAACGAGGTAGAAGAAGATGAGAAAGGGTAGGGGGAGGAGAAGAGAAGTACGAAAGAGATGTAGTAAGCAGAGAGGGAGGAGTAGAAGAGGGCGGAAGGAGAAGGACGGGGAGGGAAGGAGGGAGGAGTGAGGAGATAGGAGATGGGAGAGGGCAGAGGAGGAGAGGGAGGAGCAGAGAGGGCGAGGAGAGAAAGGAGGTGGGAGAGGGAAGAGGAGGAGAGGGAGGAGCAGAGAGGGCGAGGAGAGAAAGGAGGTGGGAGAGGGAAGAGGAGAAGAGGAGGGCAAGGAGAGAAAGGAGGTGGAGGGAAGAGGAGCCGAGAGGGCGAGGAGAGAGAGGAGGTGGGAGAGGGAAAAGGAGAAGAGGAGGGCAAGGAGAGAAAGGAGGTGGGAGAGGGAAGGGGAGCAGAGAGGGCGAGGAGAGAAAGGAGTTGGGAGAGGGAAGAGGAGCAGGGAGGGCGAGGAGAGAAAGGAGGAGGAGCAGGGAGGGCGAGGGCGGGCGGGACGAATATTATTAAAGCCATAACTCTGGCTCATAACAAGAAGCCAGGCCAGCAGGGACGTGTAACCCTCATACTTTTAACTTTCACCCGCGAGGCTGAATGAAGCCAGAATTACGAGGAAAAAGCCAAAGTTATGAGGAAATGCGGGTCGTTCAAACCCCATTGTCTCTCGGCCGAAGCTGAGGAGAAAACAAAGTGTGAGTGAGGTGTGCCTCGAATTAAATTGTATTTCATTGAGGGAGATTTGTGTGTGTGTGTTTATTGCCCTTGGTGCTGCTGCCTCGCGGGTACTGATGGGGTAATCGTGTTTGCTTTCTTACTGTTTATCATTGGTCCTATTGGCACTACGTTCATTACTCTGGTTACCATGTTTCTTCTTTTAGTTGGTACTAATTTGGTGTCAGTGCCATGCCTGGGACGTATTTATGACTCGATTTCTGAAATATAGTCAGCGATTTTTCTGCTTCGTTATCAGTTCGCATCAATCCATCTCGCCTGCCTGTGTACTTTTCCTTCTTTCTCGCGTCTCTCCACTTCCCATTTTCGCTTCGTGCGTGTTTGCGAGAGAGAGAGGAAAGGAGGAAGAAACTGTCGGCGGAATATTTACAAGGGCTGGACGTGACGCCCTCAGGAAAGAATATTAGGAGGTAGTGAGGAGAATGCGTGTCCTCTCGCGGCCATGAGGGAAATGCGAAGAGGCAAGGGGAGTGAGGAGGAGGGAGAGAAGGGAGAACGAAGAGAGAGACCATAAAGGGAGGAATGAGGAGGGGGAGAAAGAAGCGAGAGGCCATGAGGGAAGGAGAGAGGGAACGAGAGAATGTGAAAGAGAGGATGCGTGGCGAAAATGACACGAGGACAGGAGAATAAGGGAGGAGGAGAGAGAAAAGAGCCACTGGGAGAAAGGAAGCGAGGGACCAGATGGAAAATAAGATGAGGAGGAGGAGGAGCAGGAAGAAGAGCGAACAAATGAGATTAAAGAAGTGAGAACAAGAGAAGAGGTACGTAGCAGAAGGGGAAAAAAAGTAAAAGGGAGAAAAAAAAACAAGGAGAGGAGAATGAGAAGGAGGAAAAACCATCTTGTGAAAAGAAAGACAAGAGGGGAATGAGGAGGAGGAGGAGCGACACATGATAAACAGACGCACTCCATCATGAAACCCGAAAGAGAGCGGGA